GAAACTCCCGGAACTTCAAACTAATTGTACCAACACATCCCATGACATCATTCAAACTTGTTCAAAACTTCGGAACGCTCACAACAATATCAATCACCAATTTAACATAGGATTCAAGCCTAAGAACTCCAAAAACTCTTAAATTATACTTTCGATCAAAAAGCCTATCAAATCTCGTCCGACTGACCTGAAATTTTGCATACATGCCACAAATGACACCACGAAGCTATTGCAACTTTTAGAATTTCATTCCGACTTCTATATCAAAATTTCACCTATCAACCGGAAAATGCCGAAATCTCAATTTCACCAATTCAAGCCTAAACCTTCCACGGACTTCCAAAATGCATTCCGATCACGCTTCTAAGTCCCAAATCACCTAACGGAGCTAACCAAACCATAAAAATTCCAATCTGATATCAAATACACACAAGTCAAATCTTGGTAAAACCTTTCAAATTTTAAGCTTCCAACTGAGATTGTTCTTCCAAATTCATTTTGATTAACTTGAAACCCAACACCAACGATTTACATAAGTCATAATACATCACACGGGGTAAGTCATGCCTGAGAACTGGGGAGCGAAGTGCAAAAGCTCAAAACGACTGGTCGAGTCGTTACAACAAATCATGTTCATATAAATAATTCCATAATAGAATTCACTTAAAAATGCAGATAAAACAACCAAAAAAATGTTCAAACTACCATATGATAGCAATATGACATATAACTATACCAACATGGTATACAGTTTTACTAGTAAATTTTCGGTAACTATATGACTATACTACTATTACATAACACACATGCATAAAGAGAAAAATAAAAAATAGTGTACCACATATTAATATAATAAAGTATTTCAAGATATTGTACTATATTACTATTACTAAAAGAAAATCAAATAGTGTACCATTTAAATACAACTAATACAACCAAAAAATGATTTAACTAACATATGATACCAATATAATATATAGCTATACTAATATGGTATATAGTTGTACGGGGTCGTTCCAACAACTGCATATATACATAATACACAAAATCTATGTCCATAGGTACAAGAAAATCCAACACGGCAAAATATGATCATATAAATCATTTCAGAATAGAATTCATTTAAAAATGTAGCTAAAACAACCAAAAAATATTCCAACTAGCATATGATACCAATATGACATATAATTATACCAATAAGGTATACAATTCTACTAATTAATTCCAGGCAACTATATATGACTATACTATTATTACATAATACACATGCATAAATAGAAAAATCAAAAAATAGTGTACCACATATTAATATAATAATATATTTCAAGATATTGTACTATACTACTATTATATAAAACAAACGCATAAAGAAAAAATCAAAATGATTACATAATACTATCATAAAGGAAAATTAAAAAAAAATCAAGATATTGTCCTATTCTACTATTACTAAAGAAAAATCAAATAGTGTACCAATTAAATGTAGCTAATACAACTAAAAAGTATTCCAACTAACATATGATATCAATATAGTATATAGTTATACCAGAGGGTATACAGTTATAAGCAAAAAGTTTAATTTTTTTGTAATTCAATTATTAAACTGAAATAATATCAAGTGTCACATAATCTAATTAACTCAATTTTGTGCGTGATATACTAAAATTTAGATATGTTATAATAATATACTACATACCATTTTGAAATGGAGAATAAATTAATAAAAAATATTCAATGGACACGTACATTCTATTATGAAATGAGAAAGATAGAAGAAAAACGTTTATTTATATTTGAGAAGACAATAAAAGAGAAAATAGGTTGGGGCAATTAATGGTAAAAATAGCACGGTATAGTCAGTTTTTGGGTTGGTCATTCAAAAATAGCCAGTGTTTACGAAATCAATGAAAAATAGCCACTATTTTGCTGCAACAGAGACCGATCCAGCATAATATACTGGAGTTCGGTACACCTGTGTATGAATTCCAGCATATTATGCTGGATCGGTATACTTTGCAGACTCCAGTATAATATACTGGAGACTGGAGCACCGGTGCTCTAAACTCCAGTATATTATACTGGACAATTATACTTGCTGGTATTCTGGTATATTATGCTGGAGTTCTAGTGTACTTATGCTGGAACTCCATCATATTATGCTGGAGTTCCAGCATACTTATCCTTGAACTCCAGTATAATACGCTAGAGTTCAAGCATACTTATGCTGGAAATCCAGTATAATATACTGGCGTATTTTCCGATTTTTGAACAGTGTTTTCGTTCAGATTTATCTTTACATGAAAAGTGGCTAAATTTCGATTACTTTTGAAACTAGGTTATTTTTGAACAACCAATTGTACATCTGACTATTTTTGAATTTCTCCCCAATTAATGGGCTTTCACGTGATCCGGAATTAGAAAGGAAAGGATTTTGAAAATAGGTAGTTGGGTAAATACTTTAGATTGCATAGGTACACATTGTAAGACAAATTAGAATGGGCAGTAACGGATAATTAAAAGGGAAATTTTTGTTCCTATACCATATAGAAAACTATATTACCAAATATGTTCATAGTTTGCGTATTACCCTTCATGCTAGTAGTATTTCTACATAATATATATAATGCATTAAATAAGGAATCATTATAGCTGTAGGATTCCTTATTTAGGCGCGCTAAAAGGGGGGAATTAAATATTTTCCAGATCTTCCAACGCAGATCACGCATAGTAATTACTATCGTCGACTTCTTTACAAAATTTCCGTACTCTATTTTTTGCGCTAAACTCTGTTTCAACATTTTCTTTGATTTCACAAATCAAAATCGACAAAATCTTCTACAATTCTTCTGCAACAAAAGCAATTATGAAGAAAATACAAAGCAAAGGAAAAGAGAGCAGCAATTCCACCATTGACAGCCATTAAAAAGCTTTGAAGCTTTGAATTCAAATTTGGGTATTCAAAAATCATTATTTGTTTGGATTGAGTGTTGAAAATAATTGGGAATATGATTTGGAGTTTATATCTCAATTTTGAGGGGTTTTGGTGAAGATTAGACTTGGTTTTGACAGAATTTCATATTGAAACTCGAAGAAGAAGAAGAAGAAAAAGAAGAAGAAGACGTATATTGCAGAAAATGTAGAAAATTGTGGAGAGTTGTTTATTTATTTTTCTTTTATTCATTTACCTATTGTATGAAAGTTGAACAACATTGTATAAAAATTGTATTTAAGTGGATGATTTAGTACTGTTTTGGACAAAAATATGTATCAAAAATGTGAAACATACATTTCAGGGGAAGCATTTCGAGTCCAAATATGCACCCAGTTTGTAGATATTTTGTAGATAATTGTAGATTATTTGTATTCTGATTGTAGATGCTTTATTTTCTGTTTTCACAAATAAAAAAATGACTAAAACTTTTACAAATCTTCCGAAAAAACGTGATGCGTAAAAAATCTCAATTATGCTACAATTGAATGGGAATTGGGATATTAAAATTCAATGTACCCAGTTTGTAAATATTTTATAGATAAATTATAGATTATTTATATTCTGATTGTAGATGCTTTATTTTCTGTTTTCACAAATAAAAAAATGACTAAAACTTCTACAAATCTTCTGAAAAATGCAATTATGTCAAAAATTCCAATTATGCTACAATTGAATGAGAATTGGGATATTAAAATTTAATGTACCCAGTTTGTAGATATTTTGTAGATAAATTGAAGATTATTTGTATTCTGATTGTAGATGCTTTGTTTTCTGTTTTCACAAATCAAAAACGACTAAAACTTCTACAAATCTTCTGCAAAAAACGCAATTATGTCGAAAATTTCAATTATGCTACAATTGAATGAGAATTGGGATATTAAAATTCAATGTACCCAGTTTGTAGATTTTTTATCGATAAATTGAAGATTATTTGTATTCTGATTGTAGATGCTTTGTTTTCTGTTTTCATAACTCAAAAACGACTAAAACTTCTACAAATCTTCTGCAAAAAACACAATTATGTCGAAAATCCCGATTATGCTACAATTCTGTGATTCTCCTATATGATCTTGTTACTCCTTACGAAACTGCTATGCTAAATATGGAATCCAAAAAAATATTTCTGCAATTTTTCTTCAAGAAAAATAAATAAATAACAGTCTACAATTTTTCTTCAATTTATCTACAATTTTTCAACAATTTCTGCAATATACANGGGGGGATTTGGAAGAATATACGGTACCATAAATATAATGTAATTATATCAAACCTTAAACATTTGGGGTAATATAGTTTCTCATATGACATATGAATGTAAAAATTCCTAATTAAAATTGCCTGAATAGGCATTTAGAGTAGATTCCCCATAATTAATTAAGAATGATATTGGATAATTGACTGAGCAAAATAAGGAGGGGGAGGGGAGGATAAAAAATAGCCTAATTTATATCTAGTAACTGAAAAATAGCCACAATTTTAAAATTAATTAAAATTTAGTCACTTTTTCATGTCAAGATAAAATCTGAACAAAAACATCCTTAAAATCCGGAAATATTCCAGCATCTACTGGAGTTCGAATTTTTTTCACATATGAGATTCCAGCATAATGTGTTGCAATTTAATAATGTGCTGAAGTTCCAATAAATATGCTAGAAGTTTATATGCAGGAGCTCCAAAATCCAATAAATTATACTGAAACTTTCGTATTTCAGCTAAAATAATGGCTATGTTTAGTGACTTTGTAAAATGCTGACTATTTTTTAATTACCAGTCCAAAAACTGACTAATCCATGCTATTTTCACAAAATAAAAAAGTAAAGGAAAAACAATGAAAGAAGCAGGAAAAAATTCTTGTGATACATATACAAATGTTAAAGGACCCACAACAACACACTTTTGAACATACTGTTGTCATTATGATGGCATTCCTTACAAAAAAAAAAATTAAGCATACCTCAAATACCACCTATACCAGGCTTCCCATTTTCTGCATTCTTAAATAGAAACAGAGCCTTGAAATTTGTTTCTTTAAATTTGTTGCACTTAATTTACAGAAATCTCCTTCTTCTCTATATCCAACTTTCTTGTCCGGTGAATTTGGACAAGTTTTGGTCTCTATAGTTTCTTACAAGTTAGTTTGAGAGCGAGGGCAAAGATGGTAAACGCTACATTTTGTCCATTTTGCATAACACTTTCTGTGAAAATATTACCGACTATTGGTCTCTTATAGTGCCGGGTCTATTTACTGGCTATGACTTTTGCTTTGCATCTATTTTCTGGTTTTTATGTTGTTATTTTCCCTATGATTTCTGTGGCTGTATTCATCACTGATATTGCTAAATTAATTCTTATAGTCCTCACTGTCATAAGATTTGGAATGATAGAAATCCAACTATAGTCACAAATTAGACAAGTAGATTCTTTGGCTCTTTGTTTTTGTCATTTGTTTGATCTTTCCCACATATGGTATCTTAACATCTGAAAGTGAATAATTAATCAGCATCTTTTGATTCCAGAAGTTTACTTCAAATTCTCAAATAAGTTAGATAGTTTGGACATGTGAGGAGGAGAAGCACAAACGTTTTCTCAAATAAGTTAGATAGTTTGGACATGTGAGGAGGAGAAGCACAAACGTTTTCTCAAATAAGTTAGATGGTTTGGACATGTGAGGAGGAGAAGCACAGACGCTCCGGTAAGGATGTGTGAGAGGTTGATATTGTAGGGCCTTAGGAGAAGTCGAGATAGGCCGAAAAAGGGTTGGGGTGAGGTGATTAGGCATGACCAAAGGCGGACCTACATGTTGCAATGAGGGGTCGTCGGACCCAAGCTTCGGCAAATTTTTTGAATATGTATATGTATATACCTTAAAAATAGTTAATTTAAAGCACTTGTACCCTGAACATTAAAAGCCTTTAGGAGGCACTGATTGAGCAGAATACTGTGCCCCCTTCGTGTAAAAATCCTGGGTCCGTCTCTGGGCATGACATGGCGCAACTACAACTGACCGATGACATGACCCGTGATAGGAAGGTGTGAAGGTCGAAGATTAACATAGTAGGTTAAGAAGTCTAGATTATTCATACCGGTAGTGTTAGTACGCACGCTCACATTTGGTTGGTAGTAGGCTTATTTGAATACCTGTTTTTTTTTTCTTCCCGATCTTCTTACTATCTTGCTGTGTATGCCGGCTTTTACATGATTTTTGGGTGTTGTCCCATCTTGTTTCTTGTTATTATTGTGGTATCTATGCTTGCTTGAGCTGAGAGTTAATTGGAAACCGCCTCTCTACCTCCACAAAGGTAGGGGTAAGGTCTGCGTACACACTATCCTCCCCAGATTCCCACTATGCGGGATTATACTGGGTATGTTGTTGTTGTTTGTAGTTAAATTACCTGTTTCTCTGTTTCAAATGGTTTCTATAACAGCCAAGTTTCTTGCAGTTGATCAAAGGAGTCTCGGGTTGTGATGATTCTCTCTATGGAATTCTATGTAAACATCTAGAATCAAGAACCTCTAAATTTTCTGCATCAGAAAGCTCCAGAACTTTTGGACAATTTTGTGAAAACTCTGATGATCATATAATGCCTATGTGTTCACATGAGTTGGAGATGTATGATACAGCCAGTACATCAAATAATCCTTTGGATAAATGTGATTTGGCTGATGAGAATTTTAAATCAAGAGATACCTTGCATTCACTGGTGCAATCTTCTGTTAGTTTTAGACACAAACCTGAATCTTCGACAAAAAATTTGCTTCAGCAGAACAAGTCAGCCCTGAAGGGTGCCATAACCTCGCGCCATCCTTATCCAAGTATGGCGAGAGGCCGTCAAGTAAGCCTATATCGACATATTTGATATTTGCTTTGCATGAAATCTTTACATTTCCCTTAACCTTAATATTTCGTTAAGAAAATCTAGATAAAAATTGTATATTTTTATTGCTTCAAGATATGGAGCATTTACTAGCTAGGTAATTAAATGGGATATAATTGTACAAGATAGAAGGGGAGCCTTGACGTAACTGGTAAAGTTGCTGCCATGTGATCAAGAGGTCACGGATTCGAGCCGTGGAAACCGCCTCTGGTAGAAGTGCAGGGCAAGGCTGCGTATAATAAACCCTTGTGATCTGGCCCTTCCCAGGATCCCGCGCATAGCGGGAGCTTAGGCACCGGACTGCCCTTATAATTGAACAATATCTATCCAGTTAAAGATAGATTAAGACAATCCTAAGTCCCCTGAACTTCTTACATGTAATGGTCTAAGGTTAATAACACTGCTTATCTCTTGTACAATAAAGTTATCATGAAATCTTAATGGTTGTCCTTCTTGTTATCACAGGTGAAGAAGGATTCATTCGACTCGCGAATTATTAAACCATGTTATGTATGCCAACTAGAGAAGAGACCTCAATCTCCTCCTAATGAAAGTGTATGTATTTCTTCGAGTAATGTTACTCCAGAAAGAGCAGAGACAACAAAAAAGAGGCGGATCACGTGGACTCAGGATCTCCACGAGCAATTTTGTGAATGTGTAAATCGACTTGGAGGAGCCAAAAGTAAGTAAAAATACTGAAAGTAGTAATTCAAATCAAGATGATGTCTATGATTAAACATCTGTTTCTTCGACTGGGCGCAGAGGCAACACCAAAGGCAATCCTTAAGCTGATGAACTCTTACGAATTGAGCATTTCAAATATTAAAAGTCACTTGCAGGTATAAAACATTATGTACATTTCAAGATTATTGATGATGATATTGACTCCTGCTTCTCAGAAATCTAAATTATTCCTTTTGTTATTCCTTTTTTTGTCTTCAGAAATATCGCGTTACCTGTGATGTAACGGTATCCCTCAAAGGTAACCTTCAGATTTAAGTACTTAGAAGTTAAACCTATCATGTAAAGATCAGCTGTATGATCCTTATAGACAAGAAAAATATAGATCACTAATTGGAAATAAAAGATAGATGCAATCATGTAACGAACTGAGAACAACCCCTTTTTTTTTGGTGGTGTGTGTGTGTCAAAAAATGCATGAATATAGTAACTTAATTTCATCGATGTGCTAATAGAAAAATGGGATTTACTTTACATTGCGTGCAGATGCAGTTAAAACTGAAGGATCACCTCGTAGAAGTTCATTTCCAGCGCATGGTCCAGAAACGTAAGTTTGCTAGGACATCCACCTTTCATCTAAAAAGGAAGGAACAGAGATATGTTTTCGTTCTCTCCGGTGTTACACCTCAATAAGATCAGTCAGTTAAGTTGGATTAAAAACAACAACAACCCAGTGAATTTCAACAAGTGGGGTCTGGGGAGGGTAGTGTATACGCAGATCTTACCCCTACCCCGGAAAGTAGAGAGGTTGTTTTCGATAGACCCTTGGCTCAAGAAGACGAAAAGAGACAATATATATGTACCATCAACAGAAACCACATGAATAATAACAACATCATAAGCACCAGAAAATAGATAAAAAACAATAATAATAACCAGTAAATAAGGTCGCCCGGTACTATAAAGAACAGAAGAATAGTGTGAACACAACAATAATCGCTAGCAGCCTAAGACAAAACCTTATCATACTAGCCTCACCCCCAGTACGTAAAAAATGCAGTTACCTCCTAACCTATAACCCTAATGCTCGACCTCCACACTTTCCTATCAAGGGTCATGTCCTTGCAAATCTGAAGCCACGCCATGTCCTGCCAGATCACCTCTCCCTAATATTTCTTAGACCGCCCTCTACCTCTTCTCGAACCCGCCAAAGCCAACCGCTCACACCTCTAGTCATCTGGGCTTCTCCTTCGCACGTGCCCAAACCTAAGTAGGCTTAATCAAGTTACAAATTTTAGTCTGTACTTAGTGTTTCTGATATTCTTTGATTTTGCACATATTGTTAGGTGCCCGCAAATATTGGAGGCTCTGAAACTGCAAATAAGTGTCCAGCAGAGCCTATATGAACAACTTGAGGTTTGATTAGCTTTATTCTGTTATTTCAAATGATCAGAGAAACATGTGTTCATATCGATTATATCTGTTCTTTCACAGATTCAGAGAAGCTTACAATTGCGGATTGAAGAACAAGCAAAGCAACTCAAGGAAATGTTTGATCGCCAAGCAGAAACTAACAAAAATTTCCAGCTTAGCGTTTAAATTGTCCGTCGCCTATGTTTAGAAGAACAACAACAACAACAACAACTTATGATTGACAATAAGCAACTTCAACTTAGGCATGACTGTTGTCAAGCATCTACTGCTTATATTTTACTTAGGCGTGAGGGAAAAAACGTTTTTGAAAATGAACTTGTGAAAAACAGTTGTAATTGATTTTAACTTGGGAAAGGAAGAGATGAGAGGAAACAAAATTAGTTGTCTTGATATTTTGAAATCCAACACAAACTACTGCTTATATTTTACTTGTTAGCATATTTCAATGAAGTGAGTGACGTTATTTACTAGTACAGTACTTTTTAATATAAGCTAATCTCCTAACTAAAACTGCATTATGTACTATTCTATACGATTTTGTATGATGAACAGTTGATAGGCTCTAAATAGTGGTGGCAAAATGGTTAAAAGAAAATAGTTACCAACTATATTATCCATTAAAAAATAGATTGGATAATAAACTTTTTAAAACCGGATCAAATATGGATAAGAACCATATTATCCACTTAGAAAATGGATAACTAATGGGTTTAACTTTTATATTTGTAAGCCTCATATTGGGGTATTATCACCTTTAGCTCGCGCCAGAAACTATTTACATTTGGTAGCCGAAAAAGTTGATAAAATTTATATAATTTTTTGTATATAACATATATATATATATATATACACAAAAATATACAAATTTTATATATTTCTTCGGCTATTATTTTTACAATGGCTATACAGTGTCATTTTTATCCTCAAATTGGGGGTTTCTTAAATTTGAGGGACTAGGAATTCTACCAAAAGTGATCATATTCAAGAAGTCATGAAAAATATGGATATCCATATTATCTGTCGGTTAACCCGTTTTTTGGCCGTGTTAATACGGGTCTGGTCGAATAATTTATTCATTTTTGGATTACTCATTTTTGACCTGCTTATATCTGACCCGACCGCCCGTTTGTGACCTCTCTAAGCATGGCACACATGCATGTATATGCTCGATTCTCAAACCTCAAAGCCATAGCTGAGGTGGACTGAGCAACCTTTTAGCCGATAGTCATTGGTCTGGAGTGAATGAATCTTAGAAGTCCAATACCTTTGTGGTGTAGTTATGACAATATCATCGACAATTCTATTCTGATAAAAATACAGGCCATGTGTAGAATTTTTTTTCCCACAATGTGCACTTTTTGGCTCAACAATTCCAGTGGTGTGTTGTTTTCGAGGGAAAAAAAAAACTCAAAATGCAGTGGTATGCGACTTAACAGTAACAGAAAGGATAGACAAAAACCGTTAACAATAACAGCCATAAGTCGCAACTTTCGACCCTCAATGATATTAAATAGTGAGCGAATCAATTTTTATAAGTCCTTTGAATCCTCAATATAGCACCCTTAGTTGTTGAAGTTTTACCATTAGGGGCAATTTATAAGTCACATTTGACAAATACAATTATAAGTTGCAGTTGTTGCACACGATTTATAACGAAGACAACTTATGAGTTAAGTCGCATATGTCGAATGCAACTCATTTGCAATTTATAAGGTATTTGTCGAATGTATAGAATGTTAATTGAATATAGAGTGATCCGACTCGCTATTGTGACTATTTTCCTAATCGTAGCCGGTCCAAAAAGTGGCCAATCCATCCAAAAAATTTCCTATATTTTCGAGGCGACTATATAGTGTAAAAATCCCCCAAAGAATTTCATATTTTATCACTAGATTATTAAGTACTAGTATTAATCTATATCTATATCTATATTATTATAAAAGCATGAATAAAATGTTGGATTACAAAAATAACCTTTTAATATTAAGCATAATAACTCATAATAAAAGGACATAATCGGAATTCTAGACATTAGCCTTGTAATCCTATTAGTTTTAGGACATAATACTACACATTAGTAATACTACATGATTACCTTTAGAAATCCTGTTAGTATAATTATTTTTGGAAATATATATTAGCCTTGTAATCCTATTACTTTTAGGATATACTTCTTAAAAAATTCCTATTATTAATTCAATTTGAAAATATACTATATTGTCCAAAACCATTTAAAAATATGAGAGTCTATATTATTATAAAAGCACGAATATAATATTGACAGACCAAAATAGCTCTAAAATATTAAATAGAAGAACTCATAGGGAAAGGACATAGATGTAGTAACTTATTTTTTTGAACTGCAATAACTTCTATGTTAATTTTTTAATATTTAAGATTTTAAAATTAATACAATCTTGTCTACTAAATTCTTATTAAAATATGTAGGAAGGTTTAATAAAATCTATTTCATAAAAATCCTCCATATCGATAATATATTACCACTCTATAATATTCAATACGAAAAAAAATAAAAGTAATGCTAAACGGACTGCATAAAGCGTTGAAATTGAGAAAAAGAATTCCACAATAATATATTATTATATTATATTTGAACTGCTTTCCTCAAATAATATTTTTTATTATTAATTTTTCGTGTAATATAGAAAAATATACTCAATTATTAAAGAACAATTAAGAAAAATTTTAAGAATATAAATGTGTGAGAAAAGAAAGAAAAAAGTTGGTAAGAGCCAATACCACTAATGATTTTGCAAAAATAAAGATCTAAAAGTGGAATGTCATCGATCTTTTTACTCTTTAAAAATAATTATGGTGGAAAAAATTATAATCACGGTTAAATATTCAAACATGAGATGAACTAATATTAAGAATCTAAATCAACAGAAAATAAATTATATTTTATGTTAAAATCAAATAATCAAATCTTTCAATTAATTATTTGCAAGAGAATCCAATTACATTATTTTTAAAATTCATCATATGAGTAAAATTATTTTTCAAGTTAAAACAAATCTTAGGGTACATAAATTTATTCCATAAAAAGAGTGTTAGATTTATTTTTTTTAAAAAAAAATAGATCACAAAGTAAAAATATTAATATAACATTAAAAATGCCATACAAGTGTTTGAGGAGGCACAATCAAAGCTAAATCCTGAACAAGAATAAGCTTTCAAGACTATATTATAAATAATCAACTCTGGTATAGCGGGATTATCCTTTGGGGATGCCTCCGACGGAATCGAAATAATATTCTTATGTCATGCATTACTTGCAAATATCATATCAAGATGCATGATATTGTTAACAATATGAACAAGTGGTGTACTAGCAAAGATTTTAGTGTGAGGACGTACAACTCAATTCAAATTTGATATGCCTCTTCAAATAACTGAAATAACCATCACAAATATATCAAATCAGAGCAATAGGGCTAAATTTATAAGGAAAGCAAAAGTGATAATATGAGATGAAGCGTTTTTGACTAAGCGTCAAACGATCGAAATAATCGCCTAGAGTTTTAGAGATATATTGGATATCGATGAACCGTTTGGTGAAAAAGTAATAGTTTGGGAGGTGATTTCTGTCAAGTACGATTAGTAGTTCCAAAATTGACCAAAGCAGAAACTGTAAAAGCTAGCTTGCCAAAATTATACTTATGACCTCAAATGAAAAATATTCAAATGACAAGAAATATAAAAGTAAGAACAAATGCAACATTCCGTGACTTCTTGATTCGCGTCAGAGACAAAGAAGAACATCCAATAAAAGATGATTTGATTCTTCTAGAACACTTGGCTATAACCCCAATGGTAATAATAGTGCATTTAATAAGGAAAATATAGATTTTCATCATTAGATTAGAACACAATTTGTGCAAATTACATGATAGAATTTAAAGAGCTATCTTAGCTAGCAGAAATGAATATATTGATTAACTAAATAAAAGACTGACTGCTAAGTTTTATGATAAAAAAAAATATTTTTCAGTTTTCACTCATCAGAAGATGATGCCAACAATAACTACTAAGAAGAATAGTTAAATATTTTAATACCAAATGACCTTCTACCGTATATGTTTGTTCTCAAATTCATTATTTATTATGTATGGTAGTGTCACCATATATATAATAGACTAAGTTAAAATTAATCTTCCATTGCATATAGGTTGATTTTGAAGAAAAATATGTCTGTCAGGCTACTAAAAACTTAGATCCGTTGAGTAGCTTATGTAATAGTGCACATATGGTATATAGAAGTTTTGACAATAACGTCATACATGAAGGACTTATGATACTGGTCAATATGCTTCTAAGTATAAATTTATCTCCGAATTCAATTTTCGTCTTCCAAAACTAAAGAATATCCTTTTAAATTTGTGTGAAAAGTTTTAGTTTGTTTATATTTTGTAGTTATAATAAATAAAGCACAAGGACAAACATCCTAAATATTGAACTATATTTACCACAATATATTTTCTTATAGGAATAACTATATGTTGCGCTTTCAAGAGAGATATCAATATCAACAACAAGAGTTCTGGTTATGGCAGAGTAATCAAAGCATGAAGGAAATATATACAAAACAAACACCGTCTATAAAGAAGTATTCAGTAAGATATCATCACATTAAATACCTTTAAACTACAATACATAATTATCTACTTAATATGACTAAAATTGATCATTTATGTAAGTTTTGATGATATTCTTTCATTTTGAATTCACGTATTATGGTAATGTAATAATATTTTTCGCCATTTAGATGATTGTTATAGTATGATATATAAAATTTCTCTCATTAGTTAAATTTAGTATTCCTTCATATAAATAAATTTTTAAACCATTATGTGTCATTATTAACGTGCAATGCACATTTATAGATACTAGTTATTATAAAAGCATGAATTTTAATATCGGATTACCAAAATAGCCTTAAAATATTAAATATAATAACTCTCAAGGAAAGGCCATAATCGGAATTGCAATGTCGGTCCTCTAATCCTATTAGCCATAGGATCCTATTCTTACATTAAAATTAAGCATAAATAATAAATAAATAAAAAGTGAATTATAAAGATTTAAAAAGAAGAAATACGGGGTTCTTGGATAATATCCTATTTGCCATAGGACACTACACGTTAAACAGGATCCTAGAAACACGTTATTAAACTTAAATATTCCTATATACATATATAGATCCACACGTCCTAGCCTATCTTAGGAATGCTAAAACTTAAAAATTCCTATATTTGACAACACCTAATTGTTTAACCCAAAAAATAATTTTCAAGGTCAAAGCAATAATTTTATATGACGAGTCACAAGCAACCGATTCAATCCGAAAAATATAAAATTTTATTAATACAACGTGATAGAGAAGTGGGAAATAAATTAAATGACAAGATAATATAATAAAAATAAAGCAGAGAAGAAATAATTCTTATTGAAT